TAGTTAGGTCCATATGTATTTTTTATGTCAGGCTATGCAGCAGCAAGACAGATTTTGAAATGTAACCTGATAGTGATAGTCTAGAACAGAAGGTGTATTCTTAGCTCAGGCCTATTCAGCATTATTCATTATGACCACAATTTCTCTCTTACATTCATGTTCTAACTCTCTGTATGATAAATCACTGACACAGAAAGCCAAGAGTGTCTGAACAAATGAAGGAAAAATGTGAGTCAAGTTGTAGGATTCAAAGAGAGGGAAAATATGACAAAAAGGACTACCTGAATACTGTTTCTTATATGAATCAAAAAAGGGAACAATGAAGCAATAGAATGATTGAGTTAAAATGGTCTTCATCAATTAATACTTACATAATCTAGGCAGAAAGAGATTAAGGGTTTTTTGAGGACAAGTTTAAGATAGTTCAGTGGAAGCCTTGTTCTTAGTTTTCACACAGATTTTAAAGGGATTTCAGATTCGAAGTTTGACCAAACAATGTTCTGAATTTGTGTAACATGACAGTTTGAAGTTACATAAAACTAATAATTACATATGTATCTGTGCCCGTGGGTGGATTGGAGCTATTAGAATGTGAGGCCTTGAAATAATGGGTGTTTAAAACATTATATTATTATATTTAATAATATATTAAAATAAAACCTTTTCCAGCACCTTGATTGTTTCTCAGTGACATCTAAATGGTTCCAAGAACTAATCATACAAGAAGTGACAGTTTGTTGTGATGTTAGGAAATTTCAGACACAGGTATAAGTAATGTCAATACTTAAAAACAAAAAACTTTATTTTAGTTTCAGAAGCCCTAATTATTAATTCATCACAACAATATTTTTTTAAAAGGATGAATATACATTTTTGTTTTACTATTTTTTGAACATTTCTGATTAGGTAATTTAAGATCCTGATTTTAGGCATTTTTTTCACACCGTGGCTAGCATAATTTGTTTTCTTTACACACTATTGGGAATGGACGTTTGTGAAATGTGAAAATCAAACAATTCAGTCTTAAAATTGCAGGTACAATATTTGTTTATGCTTGATTTTATCAAAGTAATTTATATAAATATCCTTTAGATAAGGATGCATCTCTTGCTTAGAGTCCATCAGTTTTCTAAATCCTGTGGCTGCTTTGCACGTATCAAAAGCAGAAATCTCCATAACCTCTGGCAAGATGGAAATCCATAGCAGACCTTCATCTTGCCAGCTTGAAGGATGTGGTTTTGAATTTCCTCTTCTTTAGGATTCCTGGTCTGCAGACATGACAACGTGAGGGTGATTAGATCACCATATGGGCTTCAACATTTTGAACGCTTTATTCCTGAGTGGAATTTTGATTTTATTTCTCTAGTTGCACCAAAACTACTTTGCAGTGTAGTAATGTTATTATGTGGGATTTCAATTAAGTTTTAATTCAGCCTACTTGGATGAAAAAAGCTGGATCAGAGCTGACCGCTCTATCCTTGAGAAGCACAATTCAGCAAGTTTTCTATACTGTAGGTCACCTTGAATCTCTAATTGAAAGAGTTGGGGCAGTTCTGTTCAACTGGTTGATTAACTGGGCAGTCACAGTTAAAACAGAAATCTTTAAAAAATGTTGCATCCTGCTGCTCCACATTTAATTGAACAAGTTACTTGCTGAGGTAATTTATATCTGTTGCAAGTCATAAACTGAGGAAGAAGGGTGACCTATAGTGTAAAATCTGCTCTCCACGGCTGAGATTAACCACCCTTGGACTCAATGTTGTGGCAGCATCACATATTATCACAGACATGTGTAATGAAGAAAGAACTATTCCTCCTGCTTGTTCGATCCAAGCGCGCAGATGGACCCGTATATCGAATGCAAGCAAAACTGTTACAGATTTGTCGCTTTTCTTCAGTGCCTTGGCCACGAATTGAAGACCATTTAGCAGATACTCAGGGGGCGCAGAAAGAAATGGAATTTTAGCCCTTTCCCACGTGTAGCATCTTTAGAAGGTAATTCTAGTGCACATATACAGTATTTAGCCAGTTTCTATGTGCATTGAGGATAGCTATTAAACCTCCCGGAATTGACGTGTTAGAAATATACAGACAAGCACCACCAGGGGGAGCCTGCTTCCTGATGTTTAAAGAAGCAATTGCACACAATCAGTGTGTGACAGCTGAGCCAATTACACAGGCTCAGACGATTCTTACCTCTGCTTTGAGATTCCTTTTCAGATTTGCTTCGCTCTGTTCCCCTGCTGATTTGGCGTGGGGAGGTTGGGGTGGGAATGGCGAATCAGTTCCACTTCCGCTGCAGTGTTTCTCCTCTGGCCCTCTCAATACCGCTGCTCTGTGGCTGTTCTTCTCAGACCCTGGTGGCTGTTGAGAGCTCAAGCTAGTGCCCCAGGCTTTGAACTCTAAAACCTTACAGAAGCTCTCATGGCTTGAAAAGAGATTGTATTAAAAGCTCACAGCCACCACTGGCCACTGTTATCTTTAAGCCTGGAGGGGTCTGTAAGGCAGATATACATAATAGTAAACATGTTTTACACAAAATGGTAATGTAATCAGCTACACAAACATTACTGAGCTGGCTAGTAAGACTTTAGCCCAATTTCGTTTGTTTCTTTTTTCTTTTCAGATTTAGAGAAAACATTTTTTTTTGTCTTACTTGCAACTCCCAATTTGGAATCAGCAGTGGTTTAACAGTTTGGCTTTTTGCTATATTCCTGCTCAACCACAGGAAAACAACTGCTTACACGCATCCTCTGAAATATACTCACTCAAGCCAGCTGTGTCTTCTTACCCCTTGAGCATCGCAGTGCCCACAGCTGAGCTAGCATCAGGCTGAGGGTCAGGAAAACACTTTAAGCTCACAGGTGCCACTACACAGGTGTCTCTGTTTGGCTTACAAGCACATCTGAACTGCAGTTCCAGGCAAGATGTGCTCTGGGAATTCCAGTCACAGTTGACTAATCACAAACCCACAATCAAGTTTCTTGTATACTCCCTGAATAACATTGTTCTTTTTCCTCCTTTACCTAAACCTGTTGATGCGGATGCTACAGTATATAAAGCAGTCTCACTTTGCTTTTCTTTAGCCTGATATTTAACAAAACTGAATTTACATTTTGGATTTCTAAATTTATGCTTGTTTCTAGTTTGAAATGGAAGCGTGATGATTGAAAATCTTCTCACAAGTTAAAGTGATAATTAGATTCAAATGTATGACATGAATAACTTGCTTAATCACTTTGAAGATTTCTGGAAATAGACAAGTTTTGAGATAAACAAAGTAAACATGTTGATGAATTTCCAAATATAAATATAGTGTGAATTTAAACATGCATAACCTTGTAATTTTGATATGAATGTACATATATTTGACAAATCCTGTCCTGCGGAGATGATACAGAGTTCTATGAGCACATTTGGGATTTTTTTAGCACTGTAGTTATTATTAGGAAGGTCACCTGCAGCAATTAGGTTTTTTTTTAAGTTGTGATTAAAAGAGATGCAGTTGTTTTAATAATTGTCTTTAAAAATACCATTACGTTTGAGACAAAAACCTAGTGTTAATGAAAATAATTTAAAAATGACTGTTTTTGACATGATTGTTTTCTATATTTTATTGTTTAGCAAAAGGTGACCACACCACATATATATATATGATATGTATTTTTGAATTTGTAAAAATGTAATTTGTCTTATGTTTATTACAATGTAGGTTAATATAAACAAGCTATTGGTCTTTCAATTTCACAACACCAAAACAACAAGAATGAATAAAGTAAAATGCCTTCAGATTTAAAGTGGGACATCTCTAAAGGATGCAAAAGGTCAAGGCTGATTATTAAAGCTTAGATGTTTACCAAAGAAAAAAATAACGATATGTCTACATTAACATTCTATATTAAAAAGTATTAGCTTTGAAGACTCCCAAGACTGACGATATTCTACCAACTGCACTTAAGGAAACTTATTCATAGGCTGTTAAAAAACAAAAATGGAAAAGTCAACTCTTGAGTTGCTCAGGACAAGGATAATATCCATCAAGAAACTCAAAAAAAGAGAATTAACACCCCAGTGTTAATTAGGTGCTCCACAATTTATTAACTCCTGTCAATGTTTCAGAATAAGATGGAATAAAATATAGTGGCAGAAATAATTTTAAGAACATATTTCGCGAAGGTGGTACCTTGGTTAGCATTAGTATAACTTACATGCTGTCTGCAAAGCAGGGAAAGCCAATGGTTTCTGTATTATTCTGAATTGCTGTCATTTTGCATTTAGAAATCTGTAATTTACAAAAGTTCTATTTCTTATCTAAGAAATTGTGATATGTTTTATTTTAAGGAGAAACAAGCTTTTTTAAAATGCTTTGCTGGGATGGATGCAACTGTTAACACCCTACTGTTAACACCCTAATTACACTTACCATTAAATCATTTTATTATATTTGTTTTACATTTGTACTTTATATCTTGAGTGAGATACTTTAACCCAGTTGATGCAATCAACCTAGCTACACCCGATGGGGACAACCATTGCTGGGTTAGGCTAGTGTCTTATTCAGGGTGGAGTCACCCAGGAGAAACCCTGGCCCAAAGAATGACTTGTACCATATATGGACGTTGCCTATGAGGAATTAACTATAAGTCCTAAGATTTTGTTTGCTGTCATTACTGCTTCCCCACATTGTCCTGATGATGTAAATGATGTTATAACGTAAACACTAAAGTATTTGTCATAAGTAACATTCAGTGTTTTCCATTTTGTATCTATAGTTAATGCTTTATTAGCTGCACTTAACATTCTGCATTTTTCTACATTACACATCACGTGCCAGATGTTCTCCCAGTCTTTAATTTGTCTAACTCTTTTAGAAACATCCTTTTCTGCTTCAAAAGTTTTTGCTTATTATTCTATTTTGGTATTGTCTGCAAACCTGACTAGTTTTCTAAATAAACTAGAATCTACATAATTGAAATTTGTCTCTTTTTCTTCATCTATAGTGTGGAATGAGTGGGCAGAATGCAGAGGGCTACTTTGGGCTATCCAGACCCCATCCTCCCATTTAACAATGACCTGCCCCTTCCACCAGTGAACCGCAATTCCACCAATGTGACTGTGTCCAGCCCCGCCAAGAAGATCACTTTTTATAAGAGTGGGGATCCCCAATTTGGTGGCATAAGGATGGCCATCCACAAGCGCAGCTTTAAGTGCTTTGATGCCCTTCTGGATGACCTCTCCCAAAAGGTGCCCTTGCCTTTTGGAGTGCGAACCATCACAACCCCCCGCGGCACACGCTGTATCAACCACCTGGACCAGTTGGAGGACGGGGGGTGCTACCTCTGCTCGGACCGCCGCCAGGTGAAACCCATCAACATCGAAGGGCCTGGGAGGAAGCCCACACTGTGGCAGGGCAGCCATCTACACCACACACGCAGACGCCTGTCACATCTGGATGATGGGCCTGGGAGCCAAACTAGCCAGCACTTCCACAGACACCCCAGGCGGATTGTGCTGGTGAAGAACAATGACCCTGCAGTCAGGAGATCTATCATCCTGAGCAGGAGAACTGCTCGCAGCCTCAAAGTCTTCATTGATGAGATCTCAGAGCTCATGCAGTGCACCATCAGGAAGCTCTATACTCTAGATGGGCGAAAGGTAAGAGCATTCGGTGTGGTACTTTCAAGTGTAGACCATGATCTTTTTAAAGGACCTGAAGCATATTGTCCCTTCCTGGATTTTGCTTGGTTAAATATGACAACTGATTTTTACAGAGTGCTGTAAATTTCTAGTAATGTGAAATCATGGCTAAATGTAAAAATAATCTAATTATTTACTTCCATTTTCTGTCTTATATCACCTAATCTAGATAGCTCATCTATCTGCATATGTACACACATTTTTAACATAATTTCCGGCATTTCCCAATATCTCATCACTGTCATGCCCAGTCACAATAATCTTGTGCCATCTCAAGCGAAGTTCAAACCTTTTCTATATTAGCCACTTGCCAGCTCCATTCCATGTTAAGATGCTTCCTGCAGCATGGTGATTCTCCTTGCTCATGTAATCTTCTAGAAAATGTAGACATGCCTGTTACTTAAAGGGTTTAGTTAAACAGAAGTTTGAGGAGAGATCAAATTCTAACCTCTTACACATACCTAAGCATACAAGCTCCCAAAGGTGCAGACAGCGCTGCACGCATCTTTTCTAGCATTTTCCTTGATTGGTGTCCAACTGGTGTGGTGGGAGCCCTCAACTCTTCCCCCTCCCAAGGCTTCCAGACAGATATGTAGCTTATATTTCTTTTGGGGGTTCCTCTTGAAATATTTTCTTATCCATTCCATCTAGGAACCTTGACCAAGTGGTAGCTCTTTTCCTAATTCTGCATCAAGCTACTCTTTCTGGTCACTGCAGATTAATTTGCTGCCCACCACAGAGATTCAATATCAGGCTCCTGATAGTGATGCTCTAGTATGGCCACCTGTTTCCTTACTCATGTTTTATCATCTGCATCATACTGCACATGCTTCTCAAGCTCAACCCTGCATCATACTCTAATTCACTATATATCTGAATCTACTCAATAAATCAAGATCAAGCCAACATCGTACTTGCTTCTCATTCATTCAGTGCCACACGCATGTTGTTCTTGGTTATTGCGAAACAGCAGTTGAACCAACTTGCTCTTAGCTCAGTGTTCACAGTTTGCATCTGTGTTGTAGGAATTCTTTTGGGGGGATATGACAGCACTGATCCCCAACCTGTGCTGTCACTCCCTCAGCCAGGCAAGTTTAATCCAAAGTATTAAGTACGCTATCCCTTCCTATTCATCAGATCGTTCTAATTGAAGCGATGTTATAAAACAGAAGTTCAGGACTAGGTGAAATTCCAATCTCAAACTTCCTCTTTCTTGACCTCAAAAGCTCCCTGGATGCATAGGGTGCTCTGTGTATCTTTTCTAGCAGCTCTCTCTTCACTCCAATTTCACCATTGCAGCTTTTTCTTCCTGGCTCACCCTTCACAAGTGAAGGGGGGATGTGACAAAACTGATCTCTAGCCACATGGTCATTTCCTCATCTGGAGGGGTTATAACCCATGTATTAGTGTAAGTACGCTATCCCTTCATATTCTTCAAGTAGTTTCATCACTAGTATTTGACTGAACCTAAGACAAATCGCTTAACATGAGAAATCCTGTCAATTGGTTGCATTTTGAATTTATTTTTAAAAACGTTTTTTTCTCCCTGTGGAAGGAAAAAGAAGGACCCAGAAAAAATACTTAGTCATGATAAAGAACCAGGTTTGATTAATTGCAGAAAAGATCCACATACCCTAGTTTGTATCTAAACAAAGTTAAGCAGCAACATTTTTACTGCGCAGTCCAATTAATCTAAAATACAGTTAATTTTCATAAATTACCATATGTCTGTAATATCCACTGTTTCTGGAATATGGATGATATAATTTACATGTTATTCCATATTTTTAATAAATTAGTTGTGCCTGTTAATAAGCAAGGCTTATGCCTCAGGGTTAATGCTTTCTGCAGAGGAATTCAACAATTCAGACAAGTCATATCAGTGAGAAGGACTATTTAAGTAACACTGCTGGCTGCCTTCCTGGATTATTGGATTAAGCTGTTATACAGCACAATAAGCAAGATATATGCAGTACAATAGTTGTAAGTAATACCTGTCTTTCCGTAGTTACAGGACTCTGAGGTATTCAGTGAGTGTTTTTTTGAAAAAGATAAATCAGCTCAAGTAAATTACTGCCATGGAAATACTAATGTAGCTTGTATAGCTTTCCCTTTGTTTCACATCCATTCATTTGAAATAAATTCACTCAGGTAGATGTACAGTACACATTATTTCTTAATTCTACTGTCATTCATTGGTCATTCATTATTCAGACCTATTGGCTGAGACTTCATCTTCAGCTTGATCACAATAGAGACTTGGAAATATAAACCAAATCAAACATATCAATCAACCCCTATCAGCAAATACAAACTCTTGTATATATAACATCTCACAAACATTGCTAAGGTAATAAAATATTCAGTTTGCAGATGGCCTTCTATTTTGGGGGGCTCAGGCATACATTGAGACAAATATCTGAATGTTGTATTTTTAATGAATTCAGCAATACATGGTTCTCTACCACGGACAAACAAAACAGTGAATGGCAATATTTTTGTGGTTTAGAAAGTGTCAACTTCTGTGTTTGCATTTGCAAGCATGGAGGCTTGCTGGTGATGGCTGGATCCACTGGAATCGAGAGAAAAGCTGTCTTTTTTTAAAAAGGAGAAGGACAAATAAAAAAAGTTCTGACAAATATTTTTGTTGTGTTTTACACCAAGTAAAATACAAGATACATAATATAGAACATGAAAATAATGTTTTGGTACCTGAAAATTGGTCATACAGTGTATTAACTGAATAAAAAATACTTTTTAATCAAACTAATTTCAGGATAGGTCAGACTGTAATGAAAACTAAGCTCTTCTCATGCCATTCTTGCATATACAGTATGGCTAAATTTCACAAATATGGTTAAGATAAGATCACTTTATTAGCCATATACAATTTCTTGCTTTAGGAATTTTTCTTTTCACATACCTCAACTTGCTCTCCATGAGACACACAGGCACAACAGGCATGGAGAGAGAAGCTTGGGGTCAGAGCTCAGGGTCAGCCATGGACCTGGAGCAGGTGGGGGTGGGGGTTAGGAGCCTTGTTCAGGGGCCCAGCCACAGGATTTGAACCAGCAACAACTGCTCTGCCCCGTTATGTGATATGTAGAAATAGCTACTTTGTGACAACGGTAAATGCTGTATAATCCCCTTTAGTTAAATGGGGAGTTACATTTAACCTCCACTGAAGCCACCTGTGATGCTTGTCAGCTGACTCTATTGGAGGTAAGCAGTTAATGTTGTTCACATGGCCAGGGTAAGAAGAGGTGAATGTCTTCTTCAGTGACCTAAAGCTGCTCCGAGGAACATGTCAGTGCTAAGAACAGGAGAGATCAACAGAGGCTTTGTGTAAACAGGTTCATTTAAGTTAAATACTGCATATGTTTATAAATGTAGTCTTTGGAAATAGTGGAAGCACACAATGTTGCATTGAGTTTTTTTTTAATAGTTGCCAAGGCTTACATACTGTACCTTAAAATTGTGGGTAAAAAGAGCCATTAGCCCTTGAGTGAGAGTGGTGCTGTTTTGGTTGCTGAATCCCAGCAAGGCTACTCTGAAAGTAATTATGCAATTGTTTCTCAGATTTGTGTTTCTTTAGTGCAGCTCAGAAAACATCAAGATGTAATTTTGACAAAAAATTAAGTGAGATTTAAATGGAAAATATGACGTTTATTAAGAGGAACTGTCCCTTTAACCCCCTTGGGAGCTCATGCTGTTTTGTTTCTGAGTAACAGAGCAACTTACTAATCTAAAATGTGAGGTCTGGACAAAGTACAGCTTTGGTACAGCTCTGGGGATTTCCTCTTTATCTTGGCCCCATGAGCCCCTTTGAGATCTCAGTAAACACATCATCTCTTGAAGATGGCTTTTCTCATTATCCCTGCCCCAATGTTCCATCCCAGAGAAAACAAGGTTTCGAGCAATCCCAGCCTATCCACTGGGGCTCCTTAGTGTGGAGGCAAACAGATGCATGATCCTGCTGCAGCAGTGTGAAGGAAGAGTATGTTGCTCCCGCAGGACATAGACTGAAGAGGAATTGCCATGTTACTAAATGCTGAGGTTATCTTTTGCCTGTGGGCATCAATGACACAATCTGTATAGTGGAGGTGGAGCACTTCTCACAGGGTACCTATTTGCAAACAAGAGATGCTCCTTCTGTTATACATTCTCAGTTGTAAATATTTCTGCAAAACAGTTAACTGTTAATCAAAATAAGTGTAGCTTTAGCTAACACATTAGTCAAGGAAATACACGAACAATTGACACTGTGTGAAATGTTACATCACTATTACACAATACTCTTATTATATACTGTTATTTTGAAATTGTTCCTTTAGAATCAAGTACAGTTTTGACATCAATCTCCTAAGCAATTTATTTTTTTGCTCTAGATCAGAAGGTGTGAACGTGTTAGAGATGTAATGGGTGGTAGATCTTGTCACCTGACCAGTCCAGGAATAGTGATGATTAGGTGGTGGTAAAAAAACAGAATGTGATCTTTACATTCTTACATTTGCAACCCATAAAAGACAGGGACTTGACTGAGTAAGAAAACATAAAAAAAAGAAGCACTGAAACCACACTTCAAAGATCCCTATTACTGTCCTACCAGCAATACCTGTGTATTGGGCAGACACGATAGTTGCCATGGTGAGCCATCAAAAAGAATTTGTGGTGTCTGCAGTTGCGGCTGGTGAGGTAAGGAGCTACTTGCTTACTGCCTTTCTGACCCGTTGCTTCGGGGGAGGGTGTGCCAGGCTCTACTGCTTCTCTAATTCACTGGGGCATGCAGTACTAGGTGCAGCCATGAAAACTGCCCTTAACTAAAATTCAACTTAATTGTACAGAGGGCAGAGTGTGGGAGAATTCTGACTTAATCACCATCTTCGCTGGCATCCATCAAAGCCCAACAGCATCAATTCATGACAGCCTGCAGACTCAGAAACAACACAACAAAAAAAAGGTCCTCTGAGTATAATTCTGGAAACAATACTAATATACTTTTAGATAGCCTCCAAAAAGTAATCATTGTCAACACTTTTAATTTTATTGCTGATACAGTTATGGCTTTCTAAGAATACACGGAGGAACACATTTGCCAGAAACAATAAATTAATCTATACAACTAACCTCAAAGAACCAGGCTGTGGCAGCACAGTTTAAATTTATATAGAGGCCTAATGTCTTTATTAAGGAAATAAAGGAGCTTGTAGTGTCTCAATAGCAAGATATACTTTGTTTCACCTTCCTCTTTAGTCATCTTTCAGCTTTTTTACTTAAAAGGGTGTTTAATACCATATTCAAAAGTTTAATACTTTGGAGTGTTTGCTCCAAAGTTCAGCAGCGCTTATATTTCCTGCGAAGACTAAGAGTGTTTGGGGTTCGACAGGAAGTAATGCTACTCTTTTACCGTGCTGTAATCGAGAGCATTGTCAGATATGGTATTTCAGTGTGGTTTGGTAATCTATCAGTTCTTTTTGAATCGCAAATAACCTGCCTCATCCAGACAGTTTTGAAGGTCATGGGAGTGAAACAGCACCTCTCCCTGCAGAAAATCTTTGAATAATATACTGTATAATCAAACAGGCAGGAAAAATTATATCAGATCCTTCCCACGTCCTCAACTCTGAATATCAACTTCTTCCTTCTGGCAAACGTTTTAGGGTTCCCAAATGTAAGTCAAACAGATACAAACATTCCTCTGTTCCACTATCCATTAAAGCTGTCAACGCAAATGTCAAGGATGAACACAATTTTGACTCTTACAACTCACTTGAGTGCAATATGTGTTCTAAATGTTACATGTTGTTATGTGTTATACTGTACATGTGCAATAGAGTGATGTGCAATGTTTTTCTTATTTTTTGTAATTGAATAATGTGCAATGTTTTTATTTTCTTCTTATTTTTTTGTTTAAATAAGTGTACTAAATGTACTCTATTTAAATGTACAGGTGTGCTGGGTGTCCATTAAAAAATTCCCTCAGGGGATAATAAAATCTTCTTATCTTATATTATCACCGCACAATTAGGTAGTGTCCATGCTATTCCTTTCTGCCACAGGTCTCTCCTCATTATATACAGTAGTTGCTTAAAATACTGTAGTCTGAAACAAAATTTCAGGATGATATGTTACTCTTTTTATGCATCTCTAATTTTAGAACATGATGAACAGTCAGTGCTCACAGTCCTGTCTATTCATCCTGGGTGAGCCAGAGCTATTTTGAAATGTTAGAAGCAGGTCAGCCTGGAATAACAAAAATATATTCTTTTGTGTTATTTAAACCAAGGAGGTTGATACAGATTTGGCAGAGACAGTAACAATGTGAACAGGGATGCAATTAACTCTGTTTCATAAAAATGGAAAAATACCGAATATGTCTTACTTCGAGTCTGAAATTAAATAAGATAAACAATTCTGCTTCATTATTTTACACTAAATAAGAAAGTTTAGAGAGAGATGAAGAGGTGAGCTCCTGTGATCTGAAGTATACTCATGTTTTTTTTTCTTGTTTCTATAACAGTGGTACAACAACATCCTAAAACAATGTTAAACAATTTTCTTACTACTGTATACTACAGAAGAAATTGTACTAAGCTAAGGGGATTGCATCTATTACATTACATTTGGCTATTACAGCTTTTACTTTTATATATATATAAGAATAAACCTGATACATTTGAATCTTTTGAATTATCAACATTTTTCAGTTTTTTTTCAAAAAGCAAAATCAAACAAGCAAGATTTAAAATCCAATTTCTTGTTCCATAATCTGTTCTCTCTTCTAGGGGATACATACAAGTAAGAGTATATACATATTGTTACAAATGGGGGGAGGGGGTTACGAAAAATGGTGAAAATCAGGAATTGACTGAATGGTTGGGTCAATACATAAAATAAATATTTATAACCCCAAACTTTTAAGTGACTTTTACAAAATATACACAAGTAGTTGGTATAATTAGAGGCATATGAATTCTTTGTTTTCTGGCGCAGCTTTGGTGACAAGGTAAGCTTTGGCAAGGTAGCAATAACTAGCTCCAGTCAGGTTTTGTTTGGATGATCAAGTTCCAACTCCCCTCTTCTCTCTACTCTTGTCCTCTTCTTCTCCTTCTTGTTGTACTCCATCCTTGTTGTCTCTCTGTGCTCTTAATGTTATCTTTTATTGTGTGTTTCAGTACTGCTCTTGATTAACAACTGTCTTTGGGAATAGGAAGCTTAATAATACCTAAATCTGAGTTCAAATGTTTCCCTTATTGTTTCCACAAGCAGATCTAATTTTCTTTTCCCTTTATGTACAGTAATGCAATAATAAAAAATACTTCTTGTCTGGCTTACAAATGTAAAATAAATGGTTTTCATGTTATGTCTGCAATATTTAACAGAATGTATATGCTTTATTTCAGATTGACACTATCCAGGGTCTCATGCAGTGTCCCAATGTGTTGGTCTGTGTTGGACGAGAACCCTTTCGACCTCTCTTAGTGGAAAGCTTAAGGAAAAACTCAGAAGAGAAGCTCCCAGGACTGGGTGCAAGATCCCGCTCAAGCTTCTGTAGTGACACTCATGAAAGCAAGAAAAATGGTTGGTTCCTTTTAATTTATCACATACTGTACCTGCATTTGGGGCCATGCAATACAGCATTCACAAAATTACTTCAACACGGTACATAACCAATTTCTTTGTGACCTTGTATTATATGTGAAATCACTAGAGATTAATATAACAGCACATTTTAACATTACTGGGCTGTTTGGGAGAAACATTTTTTTCCTGCCCACCACTATAAGGTGGACAGAAACATTAATGATATTACTCATATGTTTCCATTATTATGATTGTCTGAGAATGGAAATGCATACTTTCCAGAATTGTTCATGTATTTATATATCTCATTCCAAATTTGCAGTCAGGTGTTTGACCCTTCATTTGGAACCATTTTTTTCAAGATTGTCAATGTCTGTATATGTATGCTTTTCTAATATCACATTCTTTTTTCTTCCATTTCCTTTGTTTGTGTGATATTTTAACAGTCAACTTTGGACTTGAGACCAAGAAAAGCATAATCCACCCAAGATCTGATTCCAGCAACAGGTCAATGAGATTTTCTTTGTCATCTGAGAAGTCTTTTCCCAATGGATTGAACATGTCTCCAGGCAACACAGGCTGTCCTTCCCACGCTGGAACATGCCCACATGTAAAGGAAGCCATGATGGATGACGACATACAAAAGAGAGTGCTTGTCAACAAAGATGGCAGCCTTTCAGTGGAGATGAAGGTCCGTTTCCGTTTGTTGAATGATGAGATGCTTCAGTGGTCAACTGAGATTAAAAAGACAGTGGCAACCAACAATGATTGCTCCTTAGAGAAAGAAGACGAATTAGGCCCCATTCAGCAAAGTAACTCTGAAACGTGTTCGGAGGGGGAATCTCTCTGTCCCTGTGAGGCAGAGGATTCTTACATCTCAAAACTTCGCCAAAGACAATTGGAAGAATCCCATTGTCAAAACTGCTGCAATCACTGCCAAGAGTATGACATCTGGAAGAATCCCATGCATTCTGTTCATTGTGCACGTGAGGCAAAGAGGGCAGTACGACACATCAGATCTTCTAGTTCAAGTGCATCATCTCATAGAATTATATGCAAAAAGGCGTCCATGGATAGTTTAGTCACCATGTCAAGTGAAGAATATAGAGAGCAAGTTGTAGAACAATCATCATGCTTTACACACACTGTTGAGGAAGGGGATACTAGAGTGGAATACTGCACGATAAGTCGTTGCTGCAGTCGCAGTGAATTATGCTCAAAGGCCTCAGTGTCAAAGAGCACGGAAACTCCTGCACACATTCAAGAGGGAAAGTATGAGGATATTGAAATAGTTCATGTTTGTTCAGACAATGAACAAAAAAGACCTGGAAGTGCCATTTCTGCTTCTTCTAAGAGCTCAGTACAAGATAAAGTTGGTGTGAAAATTACTAAGGTTTTTGAAGAGGATGAACGACCCCAGTCCTCAATCAGCAATTCCTCCAGAGCTTTAGAAGTACTTAAGGAAGACCAGGATGAGAAAGATGAAGACAGAGCTGGAAGTACTGCTTCCAGAGCATCTTCACTGTCTCAAAATGGCAAGAGAAATAAAAGAGAAGAACTTGAAAATGAAGAGCGTCCCACCAGTATAACATCTAACTATTCCGGTAACAGCTGTCACAATTCAATATCACCAATGCACCATTTATCTCCTAGACCAGTTAGCAAAGCATCAAGCTGCTCCTCCTTGTCTTGCAGGTTAACTAAGAACATAAACCAAGCTGTAGATGATGATGATGAATGTGCACCAAGCCCTATGTCAACTAGCACAAAAGCTTCAGGGAATTCACTCAGAAATTCCAATAAGACTGATTGTATTGTTTCAAACAGAACTACTTCAGCCGCATCTTCTTTATCAGAATTACCCACTGGCAAAGAAGTGGTTGAAGTTGCAGAAGAGAGTGAGATAAGTGTTGTTAGTGCAATGTCTGCTAGTATCACATCTTCACGAAAATCAAGAAAGTCCAAAAAATGTCAATGTAGTGCTTCTGAAAGAGCAAGTACTCCAGGATCCATGATTTCAGAGAATCCTGACATGGAAGCAACAGAGGAGAAGGATGAAAGAGCAGTTAGTCCAATGTCTACAAGTACAAAAGCTTCAGCTAAATCTAGAAAATCCAAGGGGTCTATAGAGGAGTGTGATGAAAGGGCTGTGAGTGCCATTTCCCTGAGTACCAGAGCATCTGGCAAATCAAATAAGTCACACAAAAGTCACTGCAGCACTTCTGAAAGACCAAGTACTCCAGGTTCATCAGTATCAGAGGCAGCGGCCTCCAAGGAAGTAGATCAAACAGCAGAAGACAGCAATGAACGAGTAGCAAGTGAGATGTCAGCTAGCACAAAAACATCAAGAAAATCCAAAATGACCAGCCAGGTTGAGTGCAGTGCTTCTGGAAGAGCAACTACACTAGGATCATCTGTATCAGCAACAGCTGTTGGAAATGAGGCAGAACAAGCTATAGAAGAGAATGAAGGCAGACCTGCAAGTGCCATCTCTTTGGTCACCAGAGCCTCAGGACAATCCGATACATCCAAAAACAATCTTTGTAGAATTGATGAAAGAGGGCCTTCACCAACATCATCTATATCTGATATGCTAGTTGGCAAGGATACAGAACAAAGAGAAGAAGATGAGGAAAGAGCAAGAAGTGCTATGTCATTGAGCACTAAAGCTTCAGGACACTCCAGAAGGTCCCAAAATACTAACTGCAGTCCTTCTGAAAGAGTGATTACTCCAGCATCATCTATGTCAGAAAAACGTACTGGCAGTGAGACCGAGCAGGTAGCTGAAGAGAGGGTAGAGAGTGCTTTTTCAACAAGCACAAAAGCTTCCAGCAAAAGCAAAGCCTGCAGTAATTTAGGTGGTGCCAGTGACAGAGTACCATCATCTATGTCTAAGTCATCAAGCAGCTCAGCCCGTAAGAATAAGGAAACACTGTGCACAGCTGATGATGACCATCGGTCACCTAGCAAAGCATCAAACTTTTCTTTAAGCTCTTGTGAGAAAGACATTGGAAATGAGGACTGTGACCATCAAGAAGCTGATCATTCTTACAGTGAGCCATGCTATGCCAGTGAAGCCAAAGAAGCAGTGGCTATAGAACCAGATGAAGATGAGAGACCCTCAAGCAGTGGTTCCAAAAGCCATTCAAAAGACAGCAAGAATAGAAAAGCAAGTCACGACAGGCTTTCAACAGCAAGTTCAAGGAGTGTTTTTAGTACATCTAGTCATTCTGCAAAAGCAAAACCAAAAGTACAGGATCATAATGCTGCTGAAAAGGATCAAAGACCACGAAGTAATGTTTCCAGTGTTTCTTCATATCTGCATGTCAAAGGAAGTAATTTTAAATCCAATACTAAGAGTGACGATGAATCCACTGTTATGCCAAAATCTACTAGGCCAAGTAAAAAGGGTTCAAAAAAGCATGTGGAAATTGAAGAAATCTCCAGTCCAATTTCAGGTCCTATTTCTGTTTCATCTCAGAGTTTTCATAGTCCTACCCCACCAAAAGGGAAGCCTCACAAAAATATGAGGCCTGTCATACTGCTTGGATCATCAAAGGGAAGCACTAAAACAGAATCAATTTCAGCTACTGAATCACTAAAGGAAAACAATGGTAATATTAGACCAGCTACTGTAGAATCAAAGTCAAACATCTCAGACAAAATATTTAGCGGAGCTCTTGAAGTAGCAGAGTGCAGCAAAAATGCCAGTGACAACATTGGTGACAATGGGAGTCGGTGCAAAAACAGGAAAAGATGCATTGTTTCACAGCAGCAAAAAGAAGAGCCCAGTGTTCCTGAATTAATGCCGTCTTGTTTACCAAATGCAACTCCAGCAGAAGTTGTCCATGAATGGTTGAGAAAGATACCACTAGACACTTCTATGTATGAAGTTGGAGAGGAATTTCATGAAAACTGTGATGAACTTGAAATAAAACAAAAGCAAAGTGAAAAAATGGTTGAGCCAGCTTTGGAAGTAGAAGTCTTGGCTGCTGAAGAAGGAAAGCCTGAGGAAGAGGAATCAAGCAAGGAAGAACAAAAAGATGTATCTGAAACAAATCATGCCCTAAAAAAAGAGGAGCAAGAAGAGCCACAGCAAGCAAATACTGAAGAGCAGGTTGCTAGTTCTGTTCCCACTGATACAAATAAAGAAGCCTTCCTGAAAAGCTGTCATTCTTCAGTACAGGTTATGAAAGTCCTGCTAAATCCAAGTCAAGGGACTAAACTTGATAGATGCAACAGTCTACCTGAAGTATCGCCAGTATATGGACGAAAACTCAGCAATTCAGCCAAAGAACTATTGGATTGCCTTTCTAGCCTTCAGCTGATAGACACAGAGCCTCTTGATGCAAATGCAAAAAGCACAAGATACAAAGAACTAATGAACATTCTTCAGTCTCTCTGGCTTGGAGGTGCCTGTGATGAAGGCCAGCAGGTGAAGCTGACAAGAAAGTTTAAAGACCATCATTCAACGGATGATGAATTCAACCCCAGGTCATCTTCAGGTGTGGATGTGAGCTGTGGCTCTGCAGGATCTGGTAAGAGCAGTGTCACTGGTGTAGTGGATGTAGTACAGTCAGAAAGAAAAGCAGAATTGACATCAAAACAAATCAATATGGAAGACAGAATAACACCAACACACACGTTCAAGAGACACGATTCGTTGGCTTTACTGGAAGAAAATGAAGCGAATGCAGATGAACAAAACTCCGGTCTCTCCACACATAAACCAAGGCTAACTGCAAAGACACCAGCTGCATTGTCTAACCCAGCTACTCCTGACATAGCTAGTCGTGTTCGTTGGAGCCATGAGAATGAAGGTATAGGCTCTGATGAAGAGGATGAGAGGCAGAGTCATGAAGAGGATAAAGAAAAAATGAACAATGGTCAAATCAGTGACATTACCAAGAAAGAATCTAATTCTACCTCCAAAACTTCTGAGAATGAGTGCAGCAATTTAACATCACATGAAGAAACAGAAACAAACACACAGGAAGAAGAAGCATTCACAAAGGATGAAGAGAGACTGAGAAGTGCTGTAACCTCACCAAACCAAAACAGACCACAGACACCACATAGACATTCACAAGATCCTGATCCAGTTTGGGTGTTAAATTTATTAAAGAAAGTGGAAAAGCAATTCATGGCACATTATATTAATGCAATGACAGAGTTTAAAGTGAGGTGGAACTTAGATGATAATGACCAACTGGATGCTATGATTAATGAACTCGGAGACGAAGTTCGCAAAAGGATACAATCAAGTATAGACAGGGAGCTGAAGAAAATCCAGAGCCGAGTTGGTAAGTTACCAAGACCTCCTCAAAACTCAATGAAAAGAGAGTCTACGGTACAAACTGAACAACGGCGTCGACGCTTAAAGGTCATGCATAATAAATCCATTGATGGATCTCTTCAAAGAAGCGAAGATAATTACACTTACAGTGGAACTGAGTTTAGCGAACAGCGTAGTGAAGATGAATACTGCCCATGTGACACATGTATGAAAAAGAAAATGGCTTCCAGACCTGTGCAACCTGTTGTGATTGCAAATGCTCCCCTCATAAAGGATTTTGATTTAAGGAAAATACTGCAAACAAAGAGGGAATTTCCTAAAGTTCAAGAGCAAAATGAAGCTGAGAAAGAGGTATCTGCTAATTCTGGCCAGCAGCATGAGTTTGACAGGGATGAAAATCACGATGCTGAGGAGGAAAAGGAAAGTATTGAAGGAAAGCATGAAGATGGTGAAAAAACACAAACAGACGATGAATATAATGAAGGTAAAAAAGAAAATATAGACACTGTTGATGAAGAAATATTGGAAGGATCAAATATTGCTGAAGCAGAAGGGGTAACTCAAGCACCCCAAGAGAAAAATGAAGTGGCTGATAGAGAAGATGTAACTGAACAGCCAGTAGAAGAGAACAACAGTCAAGAAGAAAGTGATAAAGTTACTGAAGACAAAATGGATGTTGAAGAAAGGGAGGAGATGCAAGATGAAAATTGTGAAACTGGAGAAAATGATGAAAAGGGCACTGACCACGAAGAAGGCAACAGCACAGAAAGCCTGGAACCTGAGGAAAACCATACTGAAACTAAAGCATCAGAAGAAGATGAAAAAAGTGTAAATAATGATAATGAAAAAGAAGATGTAGCTGAAGAAAGACAGGTAACCAAGGAAGACAGTGAGGAATTTCCAAAAGATGAAGAAGGGGAAGCTACTGAAAACCAAGAAATGGAAAGGATAATGGAAGGGGATGATTTGAATGAAAAAGAGAAAACTGGTTTAGAAGAGAATGAGAAAGATGGGGAGGCTCAAAAAGATGACCAAGGAGAAGAAAAGAAGCAAGAAGAAGACAATTCAATTGCAGAAAAGGATGGAATGGAAGTTACAGAAGAACAAGCTGAAAATGACACATGGGCAGAGGAAGAAAATGATAATATAGATATAGATGGGCAAAACGAAGAAAGGGTCATCACAGATATTAATGAAACAGAAGGCTCGGGTGAGGAAGAGAGCAAAGAAGCTGCACCTGATGAAGATCAAGAAGTTGATCTGGAAGATTCAGATGATACAGAAGTGCAAAATGAAACAAATGCAGAAAATGAAGAAAGTGCAGAAAGCAAAGCTCAAAAGGAAGGCATTGACACTTTTGAACAGGAGCAGAAGAGAAACAGGAAACAACTGTTTAAAAAAATAATTCTTCTTCAGGCTTTTTTGAGGAAAAGTGGTACTAAAGTAGCTGATACTCAAGAAGGGGACACTGCTGGCACTGTAAAGTTGGATGACTGTGACCAGAAAGGAAATGAAAAGAACGTTTCAGTGCAAAACAAAGGTAGTGAAGAAGATTCAGAAGGCAACGAGATTGAGTCTGAAACAGATATTATTGAAAAAATGGCTGCAGTAGAAACTAAAGATCAACATTGCAGTGCACATGAGGAGACAGAAGATGAGAACAAGGAGGGAGAGCTAGAAAGCAATGAAGAAAAAAACCTAACTGATCAGAAATTGTCTAATTCAAATGAGAGTTTGTGTAAACAGATATCAAAATCATCCATCGAGTCCTTACAAGGATCCATGGAAAAATCCATGGACAAAGAATTGGAGAAGAAAGTTAAGGATGCAAACAGTCCCACTGGAAGCTCAGGGAGTTTGGGAGCCAAGTGCACTCAGATGTATCCTGAAAGTTCCACTGAAGATGAGGATAAGGAATCTGATTGTTCTGGTCCAGAAGGAGACACAAAAGATATATATTCAGCTGGTGAAGAAGAAAAAAGAACGGTAATTAAATCCGCCTGCAAAAATGCCAAGGTTGGAATATCAAAAGAGTTTGAACAAGATGATTTTGACTTTTAAAAATAACATGGGTTTGATTACCAAAGCTTATTACATGAAGCACTTTATTTTATTAGGAATGCTACCATGATGTATATTTTATATTGTCCGGGAATTTGAGTTTTTATGTCATGAAAGTAACTTGTTTCATGCTAGTTAGGAACTAAAATGGAAGTTAAAGAGAACTTTCCAGAAATTAACTTAAGAAAGAATATGTTTCACCAATGTACTTTGAAGCACAGTAAACAGAAGTGGAAGAAATAATTTTATTTCTAATTAAAGACAAACCTGTTAATAGTTATTAGTGATGTGTGATAATTTGAAGTTGAATTGCTGTACTGAATTACTAGACAGATGTTTTACTCACTTATTAAGTCTTCAGCCTAAAATATATATTTAAGAAGAAAGGGGCTGAAGATAGAAGAAAGTTATTGTTTTTTTTCTAAAGGGTTTTAAAATAGCAATAGCCTTTGTATGGCATTCTAATAATTTTATTCTGTTGTGCTATCTTATGAGGACTGACTCACATATACAGTATGTTCTCTATACAGTAGCTTCTGTTTAACATTTTTAAATGTATACTTTGTATAAAAGGCTTAATGGGGTATAAGTACTGTATATCTGAGTGGCAATGAAAGTGCTGTTTATAAAAACTGTAAATTTTTAACTTATCTCTTCAGGACACTGTTGATGAAACCTGTAATTGGACTAGGATTGTAAACAGTAGTTTTTAAAATATATTTTGTCTCAATCTTTATTCATAAACTCCTAGAGTACACAGAGAGCTGTTGTAAATGTATATTTTTCCACCATTCCAAAACATATACAGTAATTACAAATATGCAATATCCTAATTGACACACTTCACACTCAACAGTGCAATAAAGGCCTTCTGAGTGCCCTCCCAAAACAACAAAATAAATATCAGTACTTGGTCCTGATTACATTACACTACATTGCAGTGTTAATGATTTTTTTCATAAATCGTTCTTCATAACTTAGATATAGTACTAGACTGGAACCCATAATCAGATGGAGAAACTGAGACTGAAATAATAATATATAATGAGATGTATTTATTAAGTGGCCAAGTAATGAAGGTTTGGTAATCATATTGTTTTTATTCCAATTATTAGACCACCAAACAAAGAAATTGAGGGAATTGTTAACATTTAGGGTATTTCTACTTAAATTCATATGAAATTTCCCCAGATGAAATCTGGCAAGATTTAAAATGTTGTGTCAGAGTTAAAGCCAAACCTAGTTTGGTTGCCATATTAGTGTTTACTCACATTTTGAGGACTTTTGAAAATTGTTAAATTCTGCAAAACATTATTGAGACTTGAAACTTGGTGGGCCACATCACAACATGTGCATGGTAAAACTTCATTTATGAAAAGGTGATAAGAAACAGGGTTTTGTCATCACGTTTGTCTTTGAAGAAGACACTTGGACACCTTGACCAAACTATAAACTCACATGTTGCTAAACTTGTTATGCATTAATTCTGTTGCACGTCAATAGTTTTTTTGTGGAAAGTTAACCTCAAAGTACGTTTGAAGCCATTGGGCAATTTTGCAGTCACAGTAAAGGAATAGTACAATCTGATAGAATCATGAAACGTCATGTAATCCTAGAGCTCACATGGAGCTACAGTTGAAACTGTAAATGATACCCTGTGTCCAAGACCAAATATGAATTTGTTGCCATATCGTATTTATCAAGCAAATTTCTAACATGTTCCTTAATGTTCTTGCCCAAATGGACCAAAATTAGGTGTACCTAAACTTTGTCGGGTTTCCTCTGAATACTAACAATATTATAGCAAAAGAGAAAAAAAACATAGACTTTTCGGTGATGATATGTTGCTATCAGTTTTTCATAATTTATTTTTCTTTATACTTTTTGGGGTTATTTGAAGGAAGACTGTCATAAGCACTTTTAAGGAAAAGCTGGAGTTGAATTTACTGATTATGTAATGCACAACATAATTAATTTACATTATTAATGTATTGATCTGTATTTCATTTTACATTTCATTGTCCTAAAGATTTGGACTACACTAGTGTAAATTCAGTCAGCTGTATTTCCTCCATTAAACTGAATCTGTAAATTAATTTGATTCCTGAAGAATTATATACTGTTTGTTTATCCTTTTAAAGATTTTGTAGACTTACAGTATATATGTACTGATTTTCCACTTTCCATTGAAGGTACAAAATAGTTAGAGTCATACGGTATATGTTTCATTTTATTTTAATGTGAAATTACAGTTAATAACAGTGATCATTCCCATTTAACAGAACAAATGCATTGTTTTTCTTAAAGATAATAACATCTAATTAATAAAACCTATTATTCAGTCATTAGATATTTCTATTTATAATTTAAACATGACACAATAATTGAGACAATACACAAATATCTGTAGCAGGACATACAGTATACTGTACATACAAACTTCATGTACTGTATAGAAGAACTGGATAAAATGTCATTCATAGAAAATAATTTCCATATTGACAGAATATATACAGTAACTTCTAGGATGGGCTAGGGAGCTGCTTCAAGGGTGAAGAAGGGGTAGAGGGAGGGATGTGAAATTGAAATTTGCAAGCAAGAAGTGTGATATTTATACAATTAAACTTCTGTTTAAACCTCCATACAGTAAATGAGAATGATGGACCAATTGGCCACCTCTGAACATAACATCCTTATGTTCTTAGGAGTATATAGTGTAACATTAAGCTGCACATAAAAGCATGTGCACGTCTTGTGGTGATTAAATCATGCACTTTAAAGTCATTCTGATTTATTAGTCATCTGAATTTTGCTTCAACATTTATTGCAGTTGCACACTAGTGCTGTAATTTAGGAGCATATGACTGTTTAAATTACTGCTATGAAACCAAGCTGACCTCCGTAAACTTCACATATGAATACTAAGTCAAATAGTTTCTTGTTCTCTTGTGTTGAACGTGCAATGACATGTAAACGGTGAAATAACCATGCTTCATAGAACATTGTAGCAGTTCAACAGTTCTGGAAAACATACTATATGTACACATTACCACTACAGAAGCCTTTGAATAAGAAGGAAAGCTATGCCTTAGCTCACTATAACATGCATCTTTTTGTTCTAATCCTGAAAATTCACAGAGTAGGATATTTGGTAGTGTGATGTAGGTATTTCTCTTCATCCATAAATAAAATGGTATTGCACAGCAAGGTGTGGTGTAAATCCTGCGGGATTTAGTTTTACACAATAAAGTCAGTACGATTTATCAAACAAAACATACAAAACCATGGTGCGATAATTTCTGATTGAATTGCACACCAGATGTTATCAAAATATTATAATCTGCCATTGAATGTGATGCTCTGCACATTTGGCAAAACCATATGTATCAATTGCTTTTTTTAATGGTTAGATTAATGTTAGCACTGCAGTGTATTTCTAACTGAAAACCATAGAATATTCAGAAAAGGGTCATTTTAGTTTTAAGCATGTACCCTGTCCAGATTTCAGTTGTGCTTGTCTGCTACAGTGAACATCTATCAGTGTTAAATATTTATTAAAGTTCCAAAGAACCTGAAAACCTTTATGACCATTTCAGTTTTCAATAGAGAATTATTGGATGCAAGATATCTTGTTTTGTTTTGAATTCAGAAATGTTTATTTTCCTATATCCATATGCCTTAGGTACTTTGTTAACCGGGAGATTGAGATTTGTTTCTGCAAATGATACGTTATACTTGGTATCACAGAGTTACGCCAATTTAACTATGCTTAAAACACAACTAACGAAGAGTTGCAAACGGCAAAATACTGTAACGCAACGGGGGTTCAGGCGGGCACCTGTGCCGCATTAGGTCGTCCCCGCACCGCCCGGGGCTCGAACCCGGGACTCCCACGTTTCTCTGCAGCGACCCAGCCCCGTGAGCTAAAGAGAGATCTCTCTTCAGCCCAGTAGCTGTAGTCCTGCTATCACAGGGAAGGGCGGTGACGTCTCACTGGAGACAAATACTTACAGTAAGCAATTTAAAGCATTTATAATAATGTATTTCTTTCTTACACCCAGATGAATTTTATCAGAAAAACCTTTGTTGGGTAATTTCCTCATAAATGTATGGCAACACTTTTGGAAAATGTGGAACTGCATCCAATAATTAATTGAATTAATTGATTAATGTAAAAGAAAGTTGCCAAAGTCACGATGGGTTCTGTACTGCTTTAAACATTCTTTGTTCAAATTGTTTAACCTGAACCTGGTTAATACAAGTGGGTCATGAACGTTTTACATAATTGTGTGCTAACTTCAATGTACTGTACACCTTATTTGTCTGTAACAACAACCCCTATGAGCAAATTAAACAAACACTGATAATTTTACTTAAATAAAGAATATCTCAAATGAAATTGTTATCTTTCCATTCTCTTGGCTTCTTTTTTAAAAATACAAATGTTCAGAACAGAAAATAACAAGATAAGAAATGTGCCTTAAGCTCATGAGACCTTTCCATATAGTACACCTAATGTTGTAATATTTCAGTTGCCTTTTTATTTTTATTTGATAAAGCAATTCAAATAATTAATGTAAGAAAAGCATAGTCATCAATACTATGCTATTAGCACTTTTCTCAAAACAGCTAACACTAATACCAAGTGACGATTAGTGATGTTAAGAGCCAAATAAGACTGCAATATCAGGAACCAAGTAGTTAAGCCATTAAAAACTCTTGGAATTTGGCAATATAAATGTAAAATGTCTTTATGCTTCCAGGATAGGTTCTAGATTGCCACAACCATAACAGGATTAAATGGCTTAATGGTTTTATGAATGCATGCATGATAAATTATTCATACTCTGCTTGAAATATTCAGATTCAGTATTCTGATTTTTTTTAACTCTGCAAATTAGAAACATCTTCGAATTACACTGTATACTGAACATGGACTGTGATTCAAAGTTTCACAGGGTTGCAGAAGAGCTGGAGGCTATCCCAACAAGCAACAGGCATAGACAGGGCGACAGTCCATAGTAGGGCTGGTGACATAGCAGACATAAACACATACACATTCACACCAGGGCCAATTAACTTAAAGGCATGTCTTTGGATGGTGGGAAGAAACCCATGCAAACATGGGGAGAAAACTCCACGCAGACAGCACCCCAGGAATTGAACCCAGAGCCCCAGCACTGTGAAACAGCAATGCTAAGCAATTCATCACCCATACGTTTAGTCATTGGGATTTATTTTGATAATGATTAAAAATCTATCCTGTTTATAATGTATTTTATGTAGAATCTTCAGCTTGTTATATAAAACAGCCAATTGTTTTATTTCCTCTGGGGCTCACGTCATTCTCTTAGTCTTCTGAGTAATATATTTAAATATAACATAGCTATATACTGTACATATAATTTTGTTTTCAAAATGTGTAACATTTATTTACGTAACAAGTGTTCATTATGGGAAACAGCACACATTAATGTGTTAAGAAAACAGCTTAAAATTAATTTAAGATGACTCAATGAAATGAATTATATAATTGGTTTATAGTTTTTTTTTGTACAAGAGTGGAAATATGATAGCATCCCTTGTATTAGTTTTGAAGAAACAAGGGTAAATGACTTAAATCCCAAATTAAAATAATGTGGTTTGTGTTTTGCAAAAAAATAAACAAAACAATTTCTACAATTAAAACACTCTCAAACCACATGTTATTTCTAAGTGAAAATTATATCTTGAAAAAAATGTATTTCAGAACTGTGGTAAATGCAGCAGTGGAAAGGAATTAATTCAACAACCTTAAAATTCAATCAAAGACCTTGAAGGACCCGACATAGCAGTTAAGAAAATATCAAGAGATTCACCTCATCTTGTCTTAAGACAGTGTAAATATGACATAGATAAATATGGGGACCAAAGCACACTGACACTGAATGGTAACAGGATGAAAAGATTAGTAATCTAATTCTCACTCCAGGAGAGATATTCATGTCACTAGCATGAAAAAGAGCGAGGAGCTGTGTAACTCAAAGGTAAAAGGTGATAATCACTTGGATATGTACAATAGGAATTCAGAAAAAGAGCATGATCAACAAAAAGGAAGTACTGTACATAAACAGAAGGGACTACTGAAGGACACCAACAAACAGGTAATGATTCAACACCAACATGCAAAGGAATTGGCAAGCCACGACTCAGCAATTGGTGAATAATAACATTACAGCAAAAACTAGTCCTGAGGAAGGAAATGTGTACGAGAGTATTTTTTTTTCATTTTCCCAAACTCAATATAATACATTAATCTATTTTCTAACTTTATTTTATACAGGGTCTCAGGGGGAAATGGAGTCAAGGCTGGCTAGAAATGGGCACAAGGTGAGAACACAATAAAATGCAATACAAAAATAAAATCCACGGAACATGAAACACCTCTCGCCCATTCCCATTAGTGGAAGTTAGTGGGTAAACTCCTTTCTCAGTCTCTTCTAATTGTTGATCTGCAGGGCATTTGTACAGTCAAACAGCTACAATGGAACTACATGGAATGGAACTTTGACTATATCAACACCACTAAAAGACTCCTGGCAATGGCAGGCAGACAAAGCCAGGCTAATCTGTTTCTGCTGCTGTGAGAGGCTTTTATTAGAATCATCATTCAGCAATGATAAATAACTGTAAACAAGGAATATCTCTATTCAGAGCGAAGTGGAAAATACTTTTTTCCAGAACTAAGCAACCTACAGTATGGTCACTTCAAACATGGAGGAGTTCAGAGGTGTATGATGGAACCAGATTATTTAGAGCCTTGAAAGTCAGTAACAAGATCTTATAGTGAGTATGTTGTATGTGTATATTATGTATTGAATTGAATAATTCCTGATTGCTTTCCTTTCCATATGAATGAAGAAAGTCCTGAATGCAATCTCTGCTAAAACCTAAGAAGGACAAATGGAGAATCACAGAATTTAAAATTATTTTATTATTTATTATTTATAATTATTTATTAAAAAATAAAATTATTTTTTGCTGTGGAAATGCAAAGTGTAAATGATTTAGAAAAGTCAGCTGTTCAAGTCAGCTGTGTACCTGGTTAACATATAAAAACTGTTTTCCTTGAGTGTGTGTGAAAGAGTAAACCTCACACCAGTCGGGTGTGAACAGAAGTGTTCAATCAGGTGCACAGTCAGATGCCAACATTCTCCACCGCAAAGATTAATGGCAGTAATGAAGACTTGGACCAATTAAAAGTATACGGTACCATCATAAAGCATTCTCTGAAAAAGTTAACTTGATTTCCAATTTAGTAACATACCTAAAACAAGATTTATGCAACTGCAAAGCAAATATTTTAAAGCTATCTTTAACAAAGCTTTTGACTGTAACACATACAATGTACTGTAGGCAACACTGACTAAACCATTATAAAATGGTAGTGTAGTCTTAAATCGCTAGTGGGAAGACTGATCAATTAAAACAAATATGCATAAATCAGCATGCTAATCTGATAGAGGCAAATTATTGTTCTCATGGATCTAGAGAGGCAACACAAATGTCATTAAGCCGTCAATTTTGCCAGTCAATTTGTTACAAGAAGTATAACATTCTTGCAGAAGAAGCACAGGTTCCTGGATATCTTCCTGTTACATGACTTTGATATTAGGACTGGATGTACTAATGATAAAAGGAAGAAAAATACAGTATATTGTACTGTATGTATTTTACAGTATTAGTTTTTAGAGCAATTAACACCTACAGTAGATCCTGTAAAATTCCTTGAATCATAATTTTCTCTCACAGACGATGCTAGACCTTTCACATGGTAGGCTTAATTGCCCCAGGCAGGACATTGAAACCTGGCCAATCAGAGCAGCACATAGCTCTCCTAATCCCTCTGGCTTCAGATGGAAAAGAAATATCTTTAGCAAGGTGATGGGATTGAGATGCCCTTACATCACACTCAATCTAGAGCTGGGGTTTAAAGGCCTCAGGACCCAGGCTGCAGTGCAGCGTCAGCAGTAGGACTGTACTTACAGTGTATTACGGCATCACAGGCACTGTGTGTCTGCTGTATGTGTGCTAATTATGATGGCAGGGAGTTCTACACACACAGGGGACTCACGGTGCTCACAGTGCAGACCAGGCTGTAAACATCAAATACTGTATATTATAGAGGGCATATTTTAATTATAATAATCTTAATGTATTATCCTGACTAAAAAAATGGAAATGAGGGTAGTGTCGCTTCAGTACTGAATAAAGCTTTCATTTGTCACAGTTACAGTACATATTTAGATTTTTAATTTTAAAGGCACTGTTTTGAGTAATTAGGCTAATGTGCTGTTAATCCATGTTACTCAGCATTAGCTTATCTGTCAATGATCTAAAATGTCACATGAGAAACATTCCATATTATACTGTACAATGTGCATGTACTGTATGTGTTGACTGCATCTGTAGAATTCGGCTTTACTTGTATCTTTTAACATAATGGTTTTATTTGTTTCCAGTATGAGGTAATAAAAATGAATTTTGGGAATTGACAATTGCATTTTCTATTAGGCACCCTTCCCACTGTCTCTGATACCCTCTGCAAAACCCCTCTGCCCCAGCCATAAACAACATAACGATCCAGTAAAAATGCAACAATCTTTTGAAGCGCTGTGCTCCAGGGAGCCCCATATGCAGTCATTTCAGAAAGAAGAATGACGATTAAGGTTCCTGGGCAATTGTTGTGTGATAAAACATTTTAGAACGTGCAAAGATTCGCTCAGGATGTCAACCTGTCATTTGTGTGAATTCCCTAATCGGACGACTGGGGCAAAGTGAAGCCCTGGTGAAAAAAGGCAACATTAAGAAAAAGTACGTGAGTCCAAACATCACGTTGTTCCAATTTCAGTGTGCCTTTCCACCAGTCGGCAGATTGCTGAAGAATTTTAGGATTTAGGATTTAAGGATTTTAGGAACAGACTACAACCAGGGTCTTGCATCCTGGTATTGACCAGGTCCAGCCTACAAGGTGGTAACAGTGCTGTTTTTAGAGGTGAATTGCATAGCAGTCCTCCTAATACAGTCCATTATTGCATCCCATAAGACACAAGGTTTGCTGAACCACGATTAAAAAAATGTGTCAAGTTCAGATGCAAAGTACTGTACATCTAAACTGTTCGGCAGCAGAATCACCTTGAAGCACCATTGACTGTATTTGGAGTGTCTGCAAGTATTAAGAGTACTCTGCATGACATTGGGATTTGAAAGAAATTAGTTAGAATATCCATATTGAAAAGGAAATCAGTTTTATTGTCTTTCAGAAAAAAGTAAAATCTTTCGAAGAAATACTAGCCAAGCCTGAGAACAGGTAATATCCGTATTCCATACAGGCCAGCACATGTTGTA